ATCTTGGGTTTTCAGCCAATTCCGAGCCACAAGTGAGAGAATCTGATTTTCAGAGCAAAAACAGAGCCCTAGAGAGAGAAAGTGCGAAGAACACATCCTAGAAGCTATCTTGGAGCTGGGTTTCATCAAATCAAGCTTGGAGATCGTCATAGGAGTGGAAATCATCATCCCAGAGCAGATTTTCCTCATCTTTATGAGTATGACTACTCTGATTACTATTTTCTTCTCTCGCTCTATGGAGTAGAACCCTTCTCTCACTTGGGTATGAAGAACCCTAGTTCCTTATGTTAGAGATTTGATTGTAATGACTTGGAATGATTATACTGTTTGGTTTTAATCGAATGATGCATGTTTATTGAATTGATTGAAGTCTGATCAGCTTTTCTTGATTTCTGCTGCAACCTGAGATAGATAGAATCTGATTAGGTTTTTAGAGCCTCTTCATTCGATAGTAGGAGATTGGTTATACGAGAGTTAGCCAGTTTACTGCTTTGTACTGGAATTCAATTCCAGTAGTGGAGTTCTGTGTTCATAGCCTCAGCTTTCTAACCCGGTGAAGACTAGTCGTCTGCCGGGTAGTTAGACTGAGAGGGCTTGGTCAGCTTAAGAGATTCCAAGCTACTGTCGGATCTTCCGCAGTCTAATCAATAGTGAATCAACCCAGGGTAATTACAATTGAACCTAACTAAGGAGCTAGGGGGACTCATTCCTGAGTGACTCTTTCCTGCTTTAGAAAACCGAACCATTTCCTGCTTTCTTACTGCTTTTGCTTTAAACAACAATCACTCGACTTAGTTGGCTAGATAATAGATAATCACGGAGTAAGAAGTAGATCTAGACCCCGGGTTGATAAAAGAACTTGTCTGTTACTGCATTCCCGGACTGCGATTACACTTGGTCGCAGTTTGGTGTTGTGTTTTGGCGTGTCACTCCTACTTCTCGCTATGAAGATCCATACAACATTCATTTCTACTTAGCACAGAGCGACAACTCTTTTTTTCCTGTCATCATATTCAAGCTTAATGATTACAACTACTTACTATGGAGTGAGTCAATGGAGGTGGCTCTACACACCAAAAACAAACTAGGGTTTGTCCTAGGTACGATTCCGGTCCCTGATCTCACTGACCCTTCTTATGGAACATATGATAGGGTTAATGGCACATTAGTTTGCTGGATTCATAATTCAATTTCAGAGGATATTGTTCTTAGTCTCCGAAACATTAAGGTTGCTTATGAGTAGGGGTGGGCATTGGGTGGGCAGGGCGGATTTTGACCATAAAACGCACTCACCCACGCTTAAACGGATTGACAATTTTTAACCCGTCACCCACCCATATTTAGTCTCGGGTTAGGTTGGGCGGATGGTGGATGATGTGGGTGGATTTGTGGGTTCACCCACATCACAATGTACAAGATATAAAGGAGTCAACATGACATGATAATCGGTGGAGAGAGTTATCGGGTGGAAACAATAAGATGGAATAAGGAAAAAATGTCGAATTAGTTCTGAAATTTGATAGAAATTCTATTATGAAGGAGTTTTCTACAGATGGAGATGATTATCAAGTGCAGGAAACTAAGAAAAAATAATTCGTCAAAGGAAATAGAGGTGATCTAGGCATAAGAATCAGAGGAAAAAATAACGGGAAGAAGAGGGGATTGCGATTTGGAAGATTTGCTTAGATGTTCAATCTCCACTCTCCACCCTTCAGCGCCAACAACTTTGTTCTTTTTGTTGTTGGGTTCTGCGGGTCACCCGCACACCCGCCCACAACCCACCCGCCACCTAGTGGACGGCTCCCAACGCAACCCGTCACCCATCCACAGACCCATCCACATAATGAAATTCGGGTCAAATGCGGACGGGTCGGCCCAAACCCGTGGGTGATACATGCCTTACCCTACTTATCAGGCTTGGAATTTTCTTAGATCCAAGTTCAGTCAGGGGGATTCAGTTCGAATTACAAACCTACAGAAGAAAATTGAATTGACGAAACAAGGAAATCAAATTGTTAGACAATATTATACTAATTTGAAGTTGTTGTGGGATGAAAGTTACAACTATTTACCCATTCCCTATTGTGGTTATGCATCCAAGACCTATGAGAGAGTAATCAAGTACCAGGAACGTGCTGGGGCTGTACATTTTTATCAAGCCAACGATGATAAAAAGGAGTTGGGGAGGGGGTGTCGGGCAATGCAACTCGCTAACCGCACCCAACAACCCTTCTTGTGGGAGTTAGCATCTGTGGGGGTGCTCGGTAGGGAAGAATCTCCGATAGATGAAGTCAGTTTGAATTGCTAGGAATTTGTGGGATTGACACTCTTATAATTGATGAAGCCTTTGAGAAGTTTCACTCCTACAATTATGGGAAGAAGAAAGGAACAGTTACATGGGGTAAAAAATACCTATACTCAACACATAAATATGTATGCGCCGTAGAATACAGAGGAACGAGAATGCGATATTGACTGCTTACGTGAATAGGGTGAAAGGCGAGAAAGGGTAACGTAGAGGGGGTCTAATCTCAAAACCCTTTTAATATTTGTTAAGATTAAGATTAATGTTGTCAAATTAAGTTACATTACTAATAATTCATACATTTACAAGAGGAAAAGTGGCATGTAGATCTTCATTTGTAACACGAAACATACCTAATACCTAATAATTCATGAAATCAACAAAACTGCAACTATTCTCATGGAGTATCAAATGTTTCTCCTCGAATTATCAATAAAAAATACTTGACAAAGTTACATGACTAACTATTCATACATTTACAAGAGGAAAAGTGGTGGGAGGGGTTACGGTGGATACTTAGTCTTAGTAGCCACGGTGGTTACTAGGGATAACATGGGTATTTTGCATCCTTCCTAATATTAACTGCCATTTTAATAACGCAATTAATTAGAGAAAGAGGAGAGATCATTGCAGAAACTAATTATACGGAGTTTTAATCACAGTAGGGGTTTGTTCCAAGATTTACGGAAGGAAAAGAATTCAGCAGTAGGAACGCATGCTTAGGGGAGAAGATTAGCAATGACGATCGTCGACACGCTACCATTACAGATGAACACTACCATTCCACACCAAACATGACTACCGTTGCATGGAACACAAACTACCATTCAAAATGAAGACTACCATTCCACACCAAATATCACAGGTATGAAGATCACTACTTATGCATGAAAAGAACCTATCATTCCAAATAACATACACGCTACCATGACAAATGAACACTACCATTCCACACCAAATAGCACAGAATCACTAGTATGCAGAAAACTACTAATGCATGAAAGGAACCTACCATTCAAACAACCTACACACTACCAATGAATTATTGTAACTACCATTCCAAACAACCTAAAAGCTAAATAGCTACCAAATCCTTCGTAGTTCAGATCTGGAATCATTCAGTGGCTCCTCATCGTCGCACCGACGACAAATCCTCACCGCGAGAGAGAGAGAGAGAGAGATGGAACAGAGGGAGGGTAGCGATGGGTAGACAAGGAGATAGAGAGATGGAGAGGGTGGACTCCGCCGACGAGTGAAGAACGAAACGCAGCCAGAGAAGACGTCGTGGGTTCGTAGGCTGAAGTGATCGTCGGTGCGAACGGGGCTATACCAGTTTCTCTTCTGATGTTGGGGAAAGTGGATGCAGAACGGCGGTCATTGTGGCGTTGCCTGCAGGGAGATTGAAGAAGGAGAGAGAAGGGACGGACGAAATACGAGGAGGCCTAACGTAATTGACATAGGATGGGTTTTGATCCTGTGTGCAGCTCCCGAATTTGCCCTTGACAAATCTGGGCCACAAGATGGGTGGGACGGGATATGGATGGCCGATCCCTAAGTAGCCACGGTGACAACTTGAAAATGAGTTACCACCCTAACCCATTCCGAAAAGTGGTCAACCAAATTTATCTTGTGGTTACCTGATTGACAATGTGGTCAACCGACCAACTTTGCGGTCGACCTAATTTGTAAAAGCGATCGCCCAAACCTAATGTATTTTATGGTCTACCAAAACCCTACCGAACTCCATATGAGATTTACTGGACTTTATTGCAATTATATTGAATGATCCGTGTTTATTAGGAACTACATGAGTTAGTTATCTCAATGGACAATTCTCATGTATGTTCATGATACATGTTGATAGATCGAGTAATATTCGTGGACAAGAGTCGTGGCAGTTGCCTCATTATGATATATTAGTATTTTTTGTTAAAAAACACTTTTTAACCAATATTTGAAAAATGAATGAGTTACATTAAATTGTGAGTTGTGACCATGAGCTAGTTTGACCCTGCTATAATTTTTGCTGAATCAGCTTCTAGTTTGAACTTTTAGAAAAACATTTTTTTTAAAAAAGCAGTTGAGTGTTTGGCTAAAAACTATTAGAAGTGCTTTTTAATATGAGTGGTTGTTTAAAATGACTATAAAAGACTTATAATATAAACTATGAAATAAAAATTCTAAACAATAAAAAGTAGTCAAAATGAATCTTGTTAGATTAATTTTATATTAAATAATATAATTTTACAATTTATTTCATTTCAATATGATATAAATGAATAAAAATATATTTTCTGAAATAAAATTAAAATATGGTTAGAATAATCTTGTATTTTCAAAACAGTTTTTCGCAGAAGCTCTGATTCGGAGCTTCTGCTTTTATGTTATACAAAAGCGCTTCCAGCTTTTCAAAAGCCAAACTTTTAGAGGTGTTCGGCCTTACTTTAATTTTTAAGCCGAAAAACACTTTTAAAAAGCCGAGCCAAACATAAGCTATAGTATACTACTCCGGAGGAGCCAAAAGAGCATAACAATAAAAGTAAAAACCAAAGAATTAAGATAAAATTGTTAAAAATAGGATGCAAAATTCAGTCCCAAATGGGCATACGAATGATGATTTGTCCTTGATCAATCAAGCAAGTATCTCACTCAATTTATAAATTTTTTTAGTAGAGACTAGACTTGAAAGCACTGAAGTGTTCTTTCTTTCTTTCCTAAACCCGTTTAAGAAAAGCTCCATTTCCACTCTTATTTAGTCAAAACCCTAGAACGGGGGACGGCTGCGTGCGTAACTTCTCAGCTCACCGTCACACTCACACAGAACCAGAAATGCCTCCGAAAGCCTCAAAATCGAAGGAGGCGCCGGCGGAGCGCCCGATCCTCGGGCGATTCTCATCCCATCTCAAGATCGGCATAGTAATCATTCTTACTTTCCTATCTTCTTCTTCGTCTAATTTCCCTGGTTGTGCCTTCTTAATACTTAGTCGTCGCCTCCGGCGTTCTTTGGCTTCAGGTTGGATTGCCTAATGTCGGGAAATCGACTCTTTTCAATACCCTGACGAAGCTGTCCATACCCGCTGAGAACTTCCCTTTCTGCACCATTGAACCTAACGAGGCTCGGATTAATGTTCCCGACGAGAGGTTCGATTGGCTTTGCCAATCTTTCAAGCCGAAAAGCGAGGTTTGTCTCTTAACTTTGCCGTCTTCGTGTTCTTATACTCGAAGTATGACAGCATCTCCGTTGTAGATGGAAAATTTTGCTGGAGTACGGTGATTAAGCGATTGGTTGCTGCGTTAGTGAGATATATAGGTTTTCAACATTGTAATTGGAATGGTCTATATGGATTCGGGAAGTGCAATTGCTTTGATCTGTTGTGCGCCTGCAACTTGCAAAGTTGCAGCTTTGTGAGTCTCATGGATCAATGATGTATTCTGGCTGTTGCATTTCCTTGTTCTTTCCAGGTTTCCGCATTTCTTGAAATCCATGATATAGCTGGACTCGTTAGAGGTGCTCACGAAGGACAAGGGTTGGGCAATAATTTCTTGTCACATATCCGTGCTGTTGATGGCATCTTCCATGTCCTACGTAAGAGGCTCTGTACTTTATCTGTTCCATACTAACACTTTTGAATCCTGAGGATAGGCACTTGTCAGCTTTGATTTCTTATGTTTGTGGACTTATAACTGAGAAGGAGATTCTGTTTAGAGATAGCTGTGATTCAACTACGATGGTTGTACATTCAACTGCATTTTCTTTATGGGAGAGTGGAGATCACTGCTGCTTGTCAACATTTCTAGATGATTGCTTGATTCCCTGTTATATGTTTGGTGGGATTTTGTGGTTGTTACCTACATTAGATGGTTAGATATTAGAAAGTCCACAGAAAGGGGATACAAGTAGTGTAAGTTAGCTTTCTAGCATCTACATTGACTGCACTAGGCAGTGCGCTAGCAGTTGTTGATGGTAGTACTCTGTGGAATCAACCTTAATAGGTCCTTTGCTTTTCTTGTTTTCTTTCAATCAATTTTCTTAGAGCTCATTTCTATTTTTAACTGTTGACGTACAATAGGCGCATTTGAAGATTCAGACATTATCCATGTTGATGACTCAGTGGATCCTGTCAGAGATCTGGAAACTATAGGGATAGAGTTGCGACTAAAGGTAACCATGATGGTGCATGGTATTTGAATTATGGTGCTCTTTCGTTTTTTTGAACCTCTGTTTTGAAATTTGTTTTGAAATTGTTATATAGGATGTTGAATTCATGGAGAGGAGGATTGAGGATATTGAAAAGAGCATGAAGAGGAGCAATGACAAGCAGTTGAAGATAGAGCTCGAGTTGTGCCAAAGGGTTTGTGCTCTATGAGTTCAGATTCATTTTTAGATCACACTTTAACTTTATCGTCATGTGTTATCTAGACGTGTCTTGCTTTGAGTTCTTGTACCAGTTTGTCATATTGATGTGGAAGCAGTAGCTTAACACGTTGAAGACTGTTTCAGATCTTAACTCTTCAGTTTTTTGCTTTTGGTTCTCTTTCTTATATAATTCACATTGAATGCAGCAAAGTTTGGTTTATTTCCTTCCTCATTTTATCATTTAAATTGTTATCAGAGTTGAGAAAACCTATGCATTTTGTTTCAAATCAGTATTTGTCCAATTGGCTTGATTGAATGTGTTTTTTTTTCTAGGTCAAGGCATGGCTTCAGGATGAGAAAGATGTGCGCCTTGGAGACTGGAAAGCTGCTGATATCGAGATATTGAATACTTTTCAGTTGCTCACTGCCAAGCCTGTTGTTTACTTGGTTGGTTTTCCCTATGGCCCTTAGCCCTTGTGATAGACTCGGTTGCTATCTCTCTGTTCAGTTGCAATCTTTTCGCTTAAATTTATTTACTGTCACAACTGCTAGATTATTTGCTTGCTCCTTATTCTAAACTATTATCAGACCTTAAATCTTCCAAAATATTGTTGAAAGTACTATGCCCAATAAGTGGCATACGATTTTTCAGTGTCGGTAGTGTTTATTGTTATCATAGGTTAGTTTCTTGCACTACTATGTTTAACAATTTGAATCTCTGCCTTCTTTACCGTGTACAGGTAAACATGAATGAGAAAGACTACCAGAGGAAAAAGAACAAGTTCTTGCCGAAGATTCATGCTTGGTATTGCCATCATTTAAGCCATTATATTATGTAGACTCAGCATTTTGACAATTTCCGAAAGTTATGGGTCATTTCTTTTCTTTCAGGGTGCAGGAACATGGTGGTGAAACCATGATTCCTTTCAGCTGTGTGTTAGAGAAGAATCTGACTGATATGCCACCAGATGAAGCTGCTAAGTATTGCGAGGAGAACAAGGTACAAAGGTTAGTGACTAGTGGAAACTGGCTTCTGTACTGTTGTATGCCGGTTCAAATGTTTCTCTGTTCCTAATTGTTGGAGCAGCCGCAAGAATATACTTGACCATAATTTCTCGTTCAATTGTATTTACTATAACATTTCTATACGTTGCTCATATAACTCACTTAGCTTGTATGGATGGTGTAGTCCTGGTTGTGTAAATCGAATCATTCTATTTCCATTTGGGTTTAGTCTCCCATTTATTCTAGATTGCTGTATTGATTAAATGAGAGTTTTATTTTGCAGTGCTCTTCCTAAAATCATAAAGACCGGCTTCTCTGCCATCAATCTCATTTACTTCTTCACTGCTGGGCCTGATGAGGTAAATCGACTGTGTACTTGGGGGATTCTTTGCTGGATCCTGCTTTCCTTTTATTATTGTCTTGCGACCGTACCCGAATGCACAATGCCTCTGGGGTTTGAAGTGTCGTTATTTGTTTTTCTTTGAGCTTTGATAGTCTCAGTTACTGTATTTACTGTACTGTTTTTTTGTATGTTATGTTTCGTAAAGTTCCACTGCGGGTTGATGTCTGAAAGATCTACTTTTGCAGGTGAAATGTTGGCAAATCAGACGACAGACAAAGGCGCCTCAAGCAGCAGGGGCAATCCATACTGATTTTGAGAAAGGGTTTATATGTGCTGAGGTAGCTTAATTTCTGACAATTAGTATATTTCTATAACCAGAAACTAAATAGACGTAGCTAGACACTAGAAAACTTGTAGGTAATCGTTTTCAGTTGCGTAATGCCTACAGTTTGGCATTTGACCTTGACCAACATTGACATGTCTCTTCCTTTTCATTTCCTCCCTCTCTACCCGTCCGTACTTGGCCTCCATATCCCTGTCAGCCTGGTAGTTCCCTAATGAAAGAGAGATTCAACAAACATTTGAAGTTTGTGACCTGGTTATGGCTTTAATTGCTTGTGGTTTTCTTGAATCCTAAGAATACCTTTTCAACGTAAAACATTATTAGCCACTTCTTTTCGGCGTGCCATGTTGTATCATGTGCTTATAATTGATTAAGTTGCTCATGACTGTTCATCAAGTGAAGTGACTGACTTCCAACTTTTGCTCAGGTCATGAAATTCGAGGACTTGAAGGAACATGGCACTGAGTCAGCCGTCAAGGTACTTGGTCTGGTTAATTTCAAGTGTTTAATTCTCGACATTAATGCTACATGTCATCTTAAATGCGGCACAGCTTTTTACGTGTGTTTTTCCCCCTCTTCTGAACATGGGGGGAGTTTGAACTTTTTTTTTTTGACAAAGGGGAGTTTGAACTTTGAATGAGGGAATAAATACACATTCTAGAATTGTGGTTCTGTGGAGCATCCTAGGAATAAGTTACTGCTAGTCTCTTGTTGAGTACAATTTCCCATGAGGCTGCTAAAATCCATTTGTTTTCTGTTTCCCCTTATTTTGGTTGGGGGGTAAATGCAGGCTGCTGGGAAGTACAAGCAAGAGGGGAAAACATATGTTGTCCAAGATGGAGACATCATTTTCTTCAAGTTCAATGTCTCTGGAGGTGGAAAGAAGTGAGCTTTCGCAACCTGACAGGCATTGCTGTACCCGCCTGCCGCAAGTCGAGCTTCTAAGCATGTAACTGAAGTCCGATGTGCGCGACAACATAGTGTAGTCCGAAAACTCAGCACGCTCTTTGAATTTGATCCGAAAGTGCTTGCTCTGTTTTTCTACAGCTACCTGCATTTTGTGTTAGAGCGTTGTACTCCCTTCTCCCCATCCAAATACTTTCTGTCTTGTTAAACAAACCTCTTATTATATCGGATAGATGCATGAGAGCTGGACGTGATGAAGGTGTGACTGAAATTATGAATTACAGTACGATGATGTCTTCCTGTCTGTGATTTTACCTTTTTTTTTTACAGTATTGAATGATGATGGCAATGCACGGGTTTTGCTTGTTTGCTGCAAATGATGGCGGAATGATGGTTGTGTGGGTGGGAAGAGATGGTGAATGGTTTTGTCTTCCCGTGGTGAATGTTTCCTTGGGTGTTCCTTCGTAATAATATTGCCTCCCATTATTAACTTTACAGGGGACCATTCCATCGGAAAAGGCGCATACAAAAGAGAAATTTCGGCTGGAATCCTTGGTCCTTGATTAAAGTAAACACCTGGTTCTTCTATAATAATGGCCCAATTCCGGAAAATGCAAAACTGCGAGGGAAAGAGAGGCAAAGAATAGGGGTGTGCAACGGTTCGGTTCGGTCTGGACCGGACCAAAATCATGAGAACCGCGGTCCATTAGTGAAAGACATGTTAGGACCAAGGACCGGACCATTCTTGCATTTGGTCCATTTGGTCCGGTTCGGTCCGGTCCAAATATGAGCTCGGTCCACCATTTCTTCAGTAATTATAAAATTCATTAGGACCAAGGACCGGACCGCATTTTACTCGGTCTGGTCCGGTCCGGTCTTAACAACGGTTTGGTCCGGTGTGGTCCGGTACGGACCGGACCATTGCACACCCCTAGCAAAGAAGATGAATTTGAGCAGCAATGGCAATTTGCAGGTGCAGAATAAATGAGGGGGGACCGCCGTCGGCTCGTGGCAGATCTCATCAATCAAAACTGCAGAGAGATCAGGGTTTGGTGGCGATGGCTCACTTGTTTGTGGTCCTATCCTTGTGGCAATCAAGGTGTCCACTGGCCTCCGGCGTAGGGTGATTAGTAGACTTCTTTCTTACGATTATGAACGAAAGTAGACTTCTTTCTTACGATGCACCGGGTACCATTACGAATGAAAGCCGACTTATTTCTTATGATGCACCGTTCGTTTTTCTAAAATGCCTAGATACAAACCTTTAACAATTGGCCGAATTTAGAGACGAATCAATCAATCAACGGAGCAACGATGGTACCATCAACAACGAAACAACCCCACAAGTATGTAAGAGGGGAGTGTTGGTTGTCATATCCGACGGTGTTGGGATGTAAATACGAGTACGACTAATTTTTATTGCGCATGGATTATTGAAGATTTTTGGACTCGTGCCCATTAAGTTAAACCCTTATGGCCCAATAACACAAACCCTAGCCTATATAAATGCTCTTAAACCTTTTGAGGGGGACATTATTCTTTTTTCCCCATTCTACATACAAAGCATAATTTTGCGGCGCAACCTTTATCGTTGTTGTACGCACGATCTAAACTAACTTGGCTCGAACAGAGGAATACCTCCCTTGCGAACAAGATTAAAAGAACGGTAACTTGTTGAAGAATTTAATTGATTTGAAGATTTTTCAGATATCTAATGAAGAATTTTTATATGAAAGCATTTTGTGCTTGCTATCCTCATATCTGAAAATTTAGTATGCAACTTATAGTTTGTTTATTTAATTTATGACGTATGGCAGTCTGGACCCGCACCGGGTCAGTCATTATGGCTGCACCCACCTCACCTCTGGTGCGTTATTGTTGGGAACCGGCGAGCCAAGTCACCCAAACCCACGCCGGCAGCGGACCCCAATCGACGAAATCCCTAGTCAACAAGGCAACTGTGCGGGTCCCACTGGTCCTCTACGTGGCAGATCCACTAAAAACTAAAAACTGCATTTGATAATGCCACTGACGTCCGCCACGTAAAAAACGGAGATTTTTTTTTCTTCTGTACTCTCTCTTCACTTTTTGGCGGGTAAATCCCTAATTCTTCCGCTAAAACATTTTCCCTTCCCTCCTTCCCCCCAAAGGAATCCAATAACACTTTTCCCGCTATCCTTTTTTTCCTGACAACCCGCCCTCTAAGCCCGGCCCGCCCCTCAAAAGACCAAACGAAACCAGTAAGCCACTCTTTTTAATTGACCAATTGCGAAGGTAGTCTTCTACTAGGGTTTAATCCAAAGAAGAAAATCTTTTTACTAGGGTTTTTTTATTGGCCTTTGGGGGTGATTTGTCACCTTGCGCATGGCTTGTCACAGTCGCACCGCATTGAGACAAAATTAAGCTTATTAACTGTGCGAAAAGGGGTTTTCTTGGTATTAAAAATGGAGAACAAATGTGGGGTTTATGGAATCTAAGTGGACAGTTACTAGTTCGTACTCGTACTAATACTCGAGCTTTTTAGTGGCTGGGTCCCTTTTGCATTCATTCCTAAAATTTGATTGTTTTTGTCCAGGAGGATGCCGTCTTGAAGCTCCCATTTTCATTGTTGGCCACAGCGTGAGGGTGAGTTCATTCTTCTCATTTCTCTCTACCCAGCAGCTGTTCAGTGTGTTTGGTTGCTTTGAGTGAGTGAGCAAACGAAACCCATGTGCATTTTTTGTATTTGCAGGAGATTTGGCTTCCCTTTTTCTTAAAAGTTGGGAGAGTTCTTTTGTAGGGAAAGGATTCCCAACCCGGAACCACCCACCTCCCACATTGTTAAATCAAAAGTTTTGAGAGATCTTTTGTGGGAAAATGTCGTCTCTTTTACCTTTTTCGGTTGCTGTACACGGCTGGTTTTCGTTGTAGCTGGTTTTTTCGCCATTTAAAGCTCTCTCTGGGTCAGCTCTTTTGAAGACGAATCTTTACTTTCTCGAAGCTTGGAGGAGCTGGTGGTTGGAAAGGGCCTCACAAACTCGCCGGAGTTGGTTCAAGGTCTGTATTTGTCTTTTCCTCTCTGGGTTTTCTGCACATTTCCTCATTTACCCGCTGAATGGTTGAAATGGCTCGCTCTTGCTAGGTTTCCAGCTTCAGAGATCCTTGTTTCTGGTTGAAAAGTGGGTGGTGGTAGTTTCTTCAGTCGGAAAAACTTTCCCATTTTGACATTTGCGGTTGAGGTTACCTTACTGCTGTGGAGAGGTGAAGCAAAGGCATTACTACAGTACTATGAAGCTTTTGAGGTTGTTAGTTTTGTCCCTCCTGTTCCTATCTGCCATGGGGCAGCTCCCTTCACAGGATATCTTAGCGTTGCTTGAGTTTAAGAAGGGTATCAAGCATGACCCAACTGGGTATGTTCTCCAGTCATGGAACGAGGAGTCAATAGACTTCAACGGCTGCCCTTCTTCTTGGAATGGCATAGTATGCAATGGGGGAAATGTCGCTGGAGTTGTTCTAGATAACTTGGACCTCGCTGCAGATGCAGACTTGAGTGTTTTTGCCAACCTCACAATGCTTGTTAAGCTCTCCATGGCAAACAACTCCATAACGGGCCAGATTCCTGTAAACATTGGTGACTTCAGGAGCCTCGAGTTCCTTGATCTTTCCAACAATCTCTTTTCTTCATCCCTGCCCCCTGGGGTTGGTAAATTGGCGAGCTTAAGGAACCTCTCTTTAGCTGGGAATAACTTCTCTGGTTCTATTCCTGATTCAATCTCTGGGCTTTCATCCATTCAGTCCCTGGACTTGAGCCACAACTCGTTTTCTGGGGTAGTACCAGTGTCACTGACCAGGCTTAATAGCCTGGTTTTCCTAAACATGTCTTCTAACAGGTTTATGAAGAAAATCCCCAGAGGGTTTGAACTGATTTCGAGTCTACAAGTGCTTGACTTGCATGGAAACATGTTTGATGGTCGTCTTGATGGGGAGTTTTTCCTTCTAACAAATGCCAGCCATGTAGATTTCAGTGGGAATATGTTGGGTGGTTCTAGTTCAGGGAAATTATTGCCAGGTATATCTGACAGTGTCAAGTACTTAAACTTGAGTGGCAATCAGCTTACTGGTTCACTATTGAGTGGAACCGAGTTGCGCTTGTTCTCTAGCTTGAAAGTGTTGGATTTGAGCTACAATCAGCTATCTGGAGAGCTGCCTGGATTTGATTTTGCTTATGAGCTGCAGGTCCTCAAACTCAGCAACAATATGTTCACTGGATTTGTCCCCAATGACCTATTGAAAGGAGATTCACTACTTCTCAATGAGCTTGACTTGAGTGGAAACAATCTATCAGGTAAAGAGTTCTGAACTTTAATTTCCCCCCCCCCCCCCCCCCCCCACCCCTAGCATTTACTTTGCACAATGATTTGCAAATTCCTGACATTGGACTATGAAATTCTTTCCAGGATCAATAACTGCAATTATGTCAACAACTCTGCGTGTGCTTAATCTCGCATCGAATGGACTCAAGGGGGAACTTCCTTTGTTAACAGGAGGCTGTGGTGTTCTTGATCTATCAGGCAACCAATTTCAGGGAAATCTCTCCAGGATACTGAAATGGGCAAATGTTGAATACCTTGATCTCAGCAAGAATCGTTTGACAGGGCCAATTCCTGAGGCAGCCCCTCAACTCTTGCGTTTGAATTATCTCAACCTGTCCTACAACTCTCTTACTGGCTCTCTCCCAAGAGCTATTACCCAGTTTCCAAAGATGAGGGTCCTGGATCTAACTTCCAACCAGTTAGAAGGCCCACTGTTGACTAATCTTTTGACTTTGCCTACTCTGCAAGAACTTCACCTTGGCAACAATGCACTCAGTGGTGCCATCGACTTCCCTCCTCCCAATACTAAATCCAACCTTCAAGTTCTCGACTTTTCTCACAATCGTCTTGATGGGTATTTCCCTGATCGGTTCGGGTCACTGACAGGACTTCAACAGCTCAATCTTGCAGGAAATAACATTTCTGGTTCTCTACCAACTTCCATGTCTGGCATGAGTTCACTTACCTTGCTTGATTTGTCGCAGAATCACTTCACAGGTCCTATACCCAGCAACTTGTCGACAGCCCTTGCAAGCTTCAACGTTTCCAACAATGATCTTTCAGGGGTTGTCCCAGAGAACTTAAGGACATTCCCTACCTCTTCATTCTACCCTGGAAACACCAAATTAACTCTCCCAGGCGGCCCTCCTGGATCAAGCAATGCCCCAGCTGAAAAATCGAGGAGGAAACCAATCAACACAGCAGTAAAGATAGTAGTAATAGTTTCCTGTGTGATTGCAGTAATCATTCTCATAATGCTTGCCGTCTTCATCCATTACATCCGCTTATCAAGCCGATCTTCGGCAGACGAAGTCGCCGGGAAAGCCATCGGGAGCCGCCCGGGGAGCAAGATATCCGGTGTTGGCGGGAGCAGCGGGGGCGGTGGACCGTTAGTTGTTTCTGCAGAGGATCTGATGTCAGCTCGCAAACCATCATCATCCGAAATCCTCAGCCCCGACGAGAAACTGGCTGCTGTAACTGGATTCTCACCTTCAAAGCACAGCCGGGTGTCCTGGTCACCGGAGTCAGGAGAGTCGCTGCCTTCTGAAGCCCTTGCGAGACTGGATGTTCGATCACCTGATCGGCTAGTTGGTGAGCTGAATTTCCTCGATGACAGCATTGCATTGACCCCCGAGGAGCTGTCGAGAGCCCCTGCTGAAGTATTGGGCAGGAGCAGCCATGGCACTTCCTACAGAGCTACTCTGGATAACGGCGTGTTCTTGACTGTGAAGTGGTTGAGAGAAGGCGTGGCCAAGCCGAAGAAGGATTTCGCCAAGGAGGCGAAGAAGTTCGCCACTATCAGACACCCGAATGTGGTGGGATTGAGAGGATATTACTGGGGGCCGACGCAGCATGAGAAGCTCATTCTTTCAGACTACATCTCGCCGGGAAGTCTCGCAAGCTTTCTCTTTGGTAAAGTATCTGAAGTACACTTCTTCCCCGTATTCATTTCTGTCCCATTGTAGTGTAGTCAAAATCGCGCTGCTTTTACGCTTCATCACCCAAAACACTTCTATGGAGAATTGCGCTGTTTGACTGCATTGGTTGCGGTTTACCAATATTCGCATAACATTTCTGCAGATCGGCCAGGCAGAAGAGGCCCGCCACTGACATGGCCACAGAGGCTGAAGATCGCAGTGGACGTTGCACGCAGCCTGAACTACCTCCATTTCGACCGTGCAGTTCCACACGGCAACCTCAAGGCCACCAACGTCCTCCTCGACGGTCCAGAGCTCAATGCACGAGTCTCCGACTACTGCCTCCACCGCCTCATGACACAAGCAGGCACCGTGGTCCAAATCCTCGACGCGGGCGTGCTGGGCTACCGCTCCCCCGAGCTGGCTGCTTCGAAGAAACCTGCTCCGTCGTTCAAGTCGGACGTGTATGCGTTCGGGGTGATCGTGCTGGAGCTGCTGACGGGAAGGTGTGCAGGGGACGTGATCTCGGGGGAAGAAGGTGCGGTCGACTTGACGGACTGGGTCAGGCTGAGGGTGGCGGAAGGGAGAGGGACAGAGTGCATCGATCCATCAATGGTGCTGGAAATGGGGAACGCGGGAGTGGAGAAAGGGATGAAGGAGGTGCTTGGGATTGCGTTGAGGTGCATTCGGTCGGTTTCTGAGAGGCCAGGTATCAAGACCATTTATGAAGATCTCTCTTCCATATGATGAACAGTCGTCCTTTTTCTTCTTCTTCTTCTTCTGCAGTGTAGTTTTAGTTATGGAGTTGGTGTTTTGTTTTCTGCAATGTTGTTGGTGGGGAGGTTTTAATGACTCGTTGGGCCTCTCCTATGGAAGGAAGCAAAGAGAGTGTTTAGGGGAATATTTTGGTGGGTTGTGTAATGTTTTGGTTATGTGATGATTTTAGGGTAGTGGGATGTGGTTAGTTTATGGTAATGGGGGTTTTGGCGACTGCCTTTGGTTGCCTGCTAATTTGTATTAACAACAACCATTGGGTGTAAAGATGGGAGAAGTGGAGGAATTTGTCAATGCATGCAAAGGGGTTTTTGAGATTTTGTGAGATGTTGACATGGCATTGATCTGATCAGGTGAGCAATATTTATAAAATTTTATCATATTGATGGTTCGATCATCAAAATTTATTTATTGAAGGTTAAACTGGTAGGTGATTTTTATCGGTATGAAAATGGTTGAAGCATAATTAAACTATGGTTTTAGCATAAAATAACCTATTGTTGAATTGTTTGTTATAACCTCCGAATGATGCTAATTGTCATTGGATTTAGATTGAAGCTAGTGAGATCCGCCAAAAAAAAAGATAAAAATCACATCTCCTTATATCTATGCAATCTTTGTCTATATTGCCAACTACGGTTTTGGATTGCAGTAACACCACATAACTATACGATTGCTATAAATTCACCTCAAAATTGGATAAAATCTGTGCTAACACTTGAATTCGTCATATCCAAAATTCAAAATTTAAAAGTTAAATTACTCTATCTCAATATCGTCGGACTAAATATTTGTTAATTTATGATTCAATTCAATTTGTTCAAATCAATCACTCGTAAAAAACATATTCAATTTGTTATTTAGCCTTTTTGTAATTATAATAAAACTAATCGTAATACATTTTAAAGGGCTAGGCGGCTAAACATCGACCTAGTTTAAAACGTAAAAATACTAAATTGTCCTTCATTAACTAAACAAAATTCAATAAAATAAAATAAAACGCCCTAAATTCTCTTATCCTCTTTACACCGCCGAACTCCTCTACAAATACCTTCTGCCGCTGCTTCTCCCCCATCGCCCTCTATGCCTTTCTCTATGATTTGCCGAGGGCACTACACATTCATTCGTCGTTTCTTCTCCCCGCCATCGCTACGCCCTTCTCCCTCACGAGTCATGACTCACTGTTTGTGTCTGCTACTCTACGTCTAGTAGTCTACCCCTACACTCCCGCAACCGTTCCATTCCGTTTCCATCCCCGCTAAATCATTATTAGGTTTTTTTTTGTCACTTTTATTTATGGAAAGCTACAATGAAAGTCTAACGAATTATCTTGTTAAATTAACATACTTGGAAAGGCAAGTTCTGTAAAGGAGGCCAAGAGAGCCCAGTTGACGGATGACGACGATTTTGTGGGAAAAAAAAAACTCTCTCTCCTCTCTCTATCGTGGGGAGTGGGAGTGAGGAACTCGCCGTCGTGCGACTCGCCGAAACCGGCCACTCCGCCATCGTGCCCCCACCGGCAACGGCCAGCGGGATGATGGGGGTTTTAAAGCCACCGCCCTGGGCTTTGCGATTCCATTCGCCAATCTGGGGTTCTAGTCCTCCTTGTGATCAATTTGACGCAAATTCACGGTTACCCTACCTCTCTTCTCGCACCATGGCTGGGGTGAATGCGGTGGTTTTTGGAGATGAGGACATCGCTGCCGGTGTTCAACGCAACGATCTCTCTCTTTTGGGAAGGGTGGTTGGTCCTATGCCCCCAGTTCGCCATCTTCAATCTACCCTAGGGCGACTCTGGCATTGTCCTGGAGCCATTTCAGTCCTCCCGGCGCCGGAAGGATTGCTTCAGTTCGTTTTCCCTTCAGAAACGGACATGAACCGGGTTCTACGGGAGACGTCATGGTTCCTTCCCAAGTTCCTTGTGCATCTGGCTCCCTGGGTGGAGGTTTCGCCGGAGGTTGCAGAACAATTATGGCGTATCCCTATGCAGCTTCAATTCTGGGGAGTTCCACCGCCTTGTTGCACCTCTAAGCTGGGTACTCTGCTTGGTCTTGCTTTGGGGAAGAGCGACCCTGCTTCGGTTCACAGGGTAACCGCCACGGCCGAACTCTATCTCAATGCTAAGGTCTGGATTGATGGGCGACTTCCCCTGTCGGTGTCGATCCCGGCATCCCATGAGAAGATCGGTAGGGGTGGGTTCACGGCGATCGTCAAATATAAGCGCCTGCCCCAATTCTGTTACCTCTGTGGAGTGCTAGGACACATTGGCCAGCAGTGCCCTCGGCGCGAGGAGTTGGCTGGTACCGTCACTCCTTACAACAAAGAGATTGTTTCGCAGCTATCTGGGCCAAAAGTCCATGACCGCTTGTTGCTGAGTCGGAAACAGTTCACCTGGGTGAGACAGGAGATGGCAAACACAGAGCTGCATCCCAAGCAACCCACAGGTGGCTTCTTACTACCAGCGCCTCTATCTGGGGACTCTGCTCCTGCTGCTAGTGGTGAGACTTTGACCCCATGATCAGGGGTAGGGACATGGACATTGGAGGTGTGGATGATGAAGTGATGACCAAGAAGGCGCGAAGGGAATCAATGGAGATAGGTCCTGCCGACGAGACGATTGCAGTGGTGGAGGAAACCAACCCGAACTGGTCCCACCCTCCCCAATGAGCATTTTAGCTTGGAATTGTCGGGGACTAGGCTCACCCCTGACAATTCCTTCCATTTTTGGACCATTTGTCGGTTCTCTCCTCCCATAGTGTTCCTCAGTGAAACCAAGCGTGAAGATGACTTTGTACATAAGAAATTGATGCGTCTAGGATTTTCTTTTGTTCATTGTGTCTCCCCCGTGGGTAGAGCAGGAGGATTAGTTGTTGCTTGTGCATCTAATGTTCAATGTCGTGTTCTAGGAGAGTCTGATTTCTACTTATTTGTTGAGTGTCAATATTTAGTTTGGGGATTGCTGGGTATCTTCCTTGTTCACCTTAGATGTGATGTAAATACTCGTTCTGCTCAGTTTAATGAACTCGTTAATTTGCTTTTGTCGTGTGTGCTGCCAAAGATAGTCATAGGAGATGACAATAGCATTCTGCATGCTTCCGAAAAGCAGGGAGGCAGACCTCCCTCTTTTCAGGTGATGGAAACCTTTCGTGAGTTTATTGATCTTGCAGGGCTGTTGGATTTGGGGTTTAAAGGACCTCCTTTCACTTGGTCCAACCGCCAAGGCCTATCTTCTCACATCCTTGAACGACTTGATAGGGGATTAGCCACTGATAACATCCTTTCACTTTGGCCTAATATGCAGATTACACACCTGACTGATCTCGGTTCGGATCATCGGATGCTTCTGTTGCAGTTTATTCCAGGAGCTGGTAAAGGGAAGCCGCGATTCCACTTCGATATTCGTTGGTGCCCCAATGTTGATGCGCGCGAGATTGTAGCTCGAGAAGGGCAGACGATCTTTCATGGTACGCCACAATATCAGTTGTTCTCCTTCTTCAAGGCGGTGCGACATCAACTAGTCCAGTGGGCAAGACTTGGGACTACCAATGCTGCAAGGCAAATTCGCGAGTTTCGTGAAGCTATTGAAGTTGAATGCGACAAGCTGCCAATTGACTAGGAGCTCATCAAGGGAATGGAAGTGCAACTCTCAACAGCCTACTTGCAAGAGGAAGTGTACTGGAGCCAAAAGTCGAGGGTGACCTGGCTTCACAAAGGGGATGCAAACACCAAGTATTTCCACCTGACTACTACCCAACGTCGCCGGCAAAATAAAATCGAAGTCTTGCGAGATGATTCCGGGACACCTCATTATGACGAAATCAGCAAGGGGAGTGTCTCTATTGGGTACTTTCAAAATCTCTTCTTAACTGCTGGTCACTCTCCTCACTTTCTTGTTAATGCACTAGGTCTGCCATCCAAAGTCATTGCTGCCATGAACTACTTCCTGACCGCCACAATGACTCGTGAGGAGATTCGACGGGCAGCTTTCAGCATCGGCCCGGGACAGGCCCCTGGATCAGATGGACTAACCGGAGCGTTCTTCCAAGCTTATTGGGACATTATAGGCAATGTTGTTTGTAGGGCAACATTATCCTTTTTCAGGACAGGGCGTCTTTTGCGGAGCTTCAACACACTATTATCACCATGATCCCGAAAACTGCAAATGCAGATATGATGCGGCAAATGCGACCGATAAGTCTGTGTCAGGTGTTTTACAAGATCATTTCCAAGATACTCACTTCCCGGCTCAGTGCTATACTGCCATCAGTGATCTCAGACTCTCAGAACGGATTCCTTAAAGGCCGCGACGACATCTCTGATAACATTCTGATTGCACAGGAGGTGATGCAATTCCTGAAGACGAAAACTCTTGGCCGGGATAAATGGATGGCGTTGAAGCTCGACATGGAAAAGGCATACGACCGTGTTGAGTGGGGTTTCCTCTTTGCTGTGATGGAGGCCATGGGATTCTGCGAGCAGTGGATGAAATGGATCAAAGCTTGCGTGACGACTGTTTCTTTTACTGTGATTCTGAATGGCAACGAGCATGGGTACTTCCCGCCCCAGCGAGGCATCCGACAAGGGGATCCACTTTCAGCACTCTTGTTCGCCATTTATACAGAGGCATTCTAGACTCTTCTGCTTAATGCTCTCAGTTTCCAACAGCTTCATGGTCTAAAGATTCACCGGCTTGCACCAACACTCTCCCATCTCTTCTTTGCCGACGACACTTACCTTTTCCTGAGGGAAACGTCTTCTGAATGTGGACATCTTCTCCAGTTACTACGGCTGTTCGAGGAGGCCAGTGGGCAGCGGATTAATCTGCAGAAATCGTCGGTCTGTTTCAGTAATGATATTAGTCCTCAAGACTCGATTGCATTGGGCGCTACTCTCGGCATCTCTTTCATAGGCCCTCTGGATAAATATCTTTGTCTTCCTGCTCAAATACAAAGCTCCAAAGTTCAGACATTCCATTTTGTTGAGGATAAGCTTGCTGCCCGCATTCAGAGTTGGCGCTCTAAAGCACTATAGCTAGCTGTGAAAGAGGTTGTAATCAAGGTTGTTGGATCTGCTTCACCCGTCTACACCATGTATTCGTTCAGGCTTCCTTCTACTACTTGTCGACGCCTTAATAGTCAACTTGCTCGATTCTGGTGGGCAGGTCAAGACAAGGATTGTGGAATGCATTGGATATCTTGGTCTGTGATATGCATTAGCAAGTTCCATGGGGGACTTGGCTTCCGGGACTTTGATCTTTTTAATGTCGCAATGCTGGCCAAGCAGGCCTGGAAGATCCTAGAGTCCCCGGACTCTCTGCTTGCGAGACTATACCGGGCAAGGTACCATCCCCACTGCCATTTTCTCATCGCCCCCACTGGTTCTCGGCCATCCTAGGC